ATGTCAAATGTTTTGAATGAAAGTAGCGAACACGGGGACGACAATGGCGACGTAAATGCGGTCGTACCGCAACTAAGTCGTCTTTTTGATGTGGATTGCTATCTAAAGAATTACAGAAAAGAAATAGAACGACGGTTAGGATAGCAATCATTAGTGATACACGGAATTTTAAGTATTTTATTTTGTGGTGTCAGTGACCTGCACTTTGGGGTCATGTAAAGTTTGTGAAATTGTAGCATCTGTTTTGGTTTAGTTAGTTAGGGATTAGATTAGGGACAACTGTTATAAACATCATAATTTAATTTATTTTATTTTCAAACTATTGCATTTTGGGGCTATTTATTTTTTGACTATTTTTTGAGGTCACCTTATTTAAATGACATGACCTAATATTTTAATATTCATCAATAAAATAAATAAGTTTATTTTTATTACGTACTTTTGAATAAAATAAACCAAACAAAATTGTTCTTTTCAGTGAATAATTTCTGCTGGCTTAAGCAATCTTAATCGTAATTAATTTAAATATAATTTGATTTTTATAAAAATATAAATGATATTATGAGATTATTATCTGTCATATGAGATTCATAATAAGTTTTCTTAGCTTAAATAAATAAATAATTTACCTAAGATAAATAAGTTTAAAGATTGTAAACCGCAATTTATCATTTATATTTTATATGAATGGTGAATTGTATTTTAGATGAATGATGAATTAATTTCATTTAATCAAATAATCACATTGTAATATTAATTTAAACATTCACAAATTCTCTAAAAAAAAACTCCCTACATCGACTCATTAGCTACAGAGAATTCAGAACACTACTTCAAAGAATTGAAACGAATGAACCTGGTGGCATTGACAAATTCACACGTTCCTACGAAGAATTCGGAGTTCACGCACACTCAGATGGGACCATAACATGGAAGGAATGGTGCCCTGGAGCCACAGGTCTCTTCCTTTGGGGAGAATTCAGTGAGTTAAAGTTAGGGTTTTGTAGTAAGGATCAGTTTATTATTGATTAGGTTCACTGTTCTGTTTATGGTTTTTGTTTCATTTCTTTGTTTTTTTTAATGGAATTTTAATAAAATTGTTTTTTTAATGTTTGTTATTGTTAAAAGTTTGGTCTGATCATTTTTTTTTCTGATTTAACTTCAATTTCCCTGTTTTTACTAAATTTACTTTTACCGTTAGTTATATGTAGTTTTTAAATAATGTTTTCAAAATATTGTTAATGTTTATAAATATGATGACGACGATGATGAAGATGATGATAATAATGATGAAAGATGACGATATTGCTAATAATGATTATAATTTTGACAGTGCTATATAGATAGAGCTCAAAATTTATTGGTTTACTAATGTTTAAATTTCATTTGTTCACAATTTATTTTTAAATGTTTTCAAGTTTGATTCAATCTGCCATTAACTCCTTAGTTATAGTTATACATTTTACTCATAACATTAATAATGAACTGTGAAAATCGTATTAATAAAGTTAATATTTACATAAAACAATAATAATAATATTAATATCAATAAAAGTATTGTTATTATTAGTATTATTAAGTAATACTATCTCTATAATTAACTAACTAATTAACTAATATAATATAATTAACTAACTAACTAATCTATGATTAATTAACCTATTAGAGGACTTATAATTTTAAACTTATATTTTCTTTTATATTTTCTCTCTCCCATTCAATGTTTGCAATGAACGAACGAACTTACGGACGAACAAACGAACGAACGAACGAACGGACGAACAAATTGATGAACGCGTAAACGAACGAACAATGTACCGTTTAATTGATTATTTGATTAATTAATTGACCGTATAATAACTAACTTGTTAATCAATGCGGGTATTTTTGACGCTCTTCAATTATAATGTCTTCTGCAATATGTCATCCGTTCTGAAAATGTGACGACGATGATGATGATTCTAATGATGATGACGACGATGATAATGATGGTGATGACGATAATGATAATGATGATGGTGACGATGGTAATTTTTTTTACAAATTTTTTTTTATCCACTTTACCAACAAACGTGAGAAATTCGTTTATGTTTCTTGCCACTGCCATTCGTTCATTAATTTATTTGTACTGTATATATTAACATTCTTTTCGTTATTTGCTGTTATAAATGTCTCCACAACTTATTATTATTGTTAAAAATGTTTGTGGTGAACTCTAATCGAAAACCTAACCAAACGAACTCTCTCATTTTTAACACGACGATGACAATAAAATTAAACGATGACTTTGCAACGAAACAACACCGACACACATACACGTACATACATGCACAACAACAAACAAAACTACACATTTCATCTCTTTCTCTCTCTCTCTCTCTCTCTCTCTCTCTCTCTCTCTCTCTTTCTTCTTTCCACACACACACACACTACACACACACTACACACACACATCAACGAAATCACACATCACCCACACGCACACAAACGCACACACAAAACAAAAGAACTGAAACACCAACCCATCATAACATCAGACCAATGGACCGACAACCAATATGAATTCAAGAATATTGGCTACGGCAAATATGAACTTACCCTACCACCTATTGTCAACCAAGAGACAAATTCAGTTGTGCCTAGAATTCCGCACAATAGTATTGTTAAGGTTTCAAAATTGTATTGTATTGTAGTGTAGTGTATTGTATTGTATTGTAGAATTTTTATAGCGCTTCTTATGAGTTTACTTAAGAAGCGCTATACAAATTCTTTGCGAAATATTTATATTTAATTTTTTGGGTTAACCATCATTCTCCATTACAAACACTGGAGATCGTTGTCTTGCTGCTTCAACTCACTGGCTGACTCGATAAGGCAATGGTTTTAAGGTGCCTGTTTCGCTGGTATGGTGTCGCGGGGACTGGGTTCAAAAGCAGAGTGATTCTATCGCATGCAATGTGTGTGATACGCTGAGTTACATGCACCGTCTGTTCTTTGTTCTTTTGATACATCTAAAAAATACTACTAGAATGGTGTTGTAAAAAGTTATTATTATTATTATAATAATTATTATTCGTTAATTGGGTTACCTAGTTACGTGTGGCCACACGTGACGGCCGCCATATTGACCGCATTTCGCCATGGGCTAGTTACGTCACGAGGACTGAGAAGGCTGTTGTATACGAGCAGAAGTTTTGGAATCCTCCGCAGGTTTGTTGTTGATGTTGTTGTTGTTGTTGAGGTTGTTGTTGTTTGTTGTTTGTTTGTTGTTGTTGTTTGTTGTTGGGGTTTGATGTTGTTGATGTTGTTGTTTGTTGTTGATGTTGTTGTTGTTTGTTGTTGGGGTTTGATGTTGTTGCTTGTTGTTGATGTCGTTTGTTGTTGTTGAGGCTTGTTGTTGAGGATTTGTTGTTGTTTAAATATATATATATATATATATATATTGGCTTTCATTTTCGCAGGTAGATGTCATTTTTACCCATTCCCGCTTGTCATTCTTGATTCCCAAACTGCGATTCCTTATTCCCTATAATTCCCATTTCCGAAAATTAAATTTTACCAATTCCCATGGAAATCCCGTGGGATTTCCGCAATTCCCGTTCTCATTCTCACTCTACAATCAATCAATCAATCAACGAACTAACCAACCAGTCATTCAATCAATCAGTCAATCACTCAATCAATCAGTCAATCACTCAATCAATCAGTCACTCATTCAATCAATCAATCAGTCATTCAATCAATCAGTCAATCACTCAATCAATTAGTCACTCATTCAATCAATCAGTCAATCAATCAGTCAATCACTCAGTCAATCAATCAACCAAAAAACCAACCAATCATATCATATTAACAGAAGTACATCTTCAAAAACGCGCGACCAGCCAAGCCGAGCTGTCTGAGGATCTACGAATCCCATGTGGGTATTGCCTCGTGGGAGGGGAAAGTATCCACGTACAAACATTTTACACTGGACGTGCTACCCAGGATTAAGAAATTAGGTCAGTGATGACGACGACGATGATGATGGTGATGATAACAACACTGATGATGATGACAATGATGATGAATGATGGTGATTATAACAACACTGATGATGATGACACTGATGTTCATGATGATAACAACACTGATGTTAATGGTGATAACGATGGTGGTGATGATGATGATGACAACGATGATGATGATGATAGCGACTAGGATGATGATGATGATGACGATGATGGTGATGATGATGATAACGACTAGGATGATGATGATGACGATGGTGATGATGATGATGATTGTTAAGGTTACAACTCCATACAATTGATGGCCATTATGGAACACGCCTACTACGGGTCATTCGGCTATCAGGTCACCAGCTTTTTCGCTGCATCCAGGTCAGATAGATGGATGGATAGATGAATGGATGGATGGATGGATGGATGGACGGATGGATGGATGAATGGATGGGTGGATGGATGAAGATGTGATGAGTGAGTGAGTGAGTGAGTGAGTGAGTGAGTGAGTGAGTGAGTGAGTGAGTGAGTGAGTGAGTGAGTGGATGAAAGAATGGTTAGATTGAATGAGTGGGATTATAGAATTAATCGATGGATTAAAAAGTGTGATTGGATAAGGGAGTAGATGAGTGAATGAATTAATAAATTGATTAACTGAAAATATATCTCGGGATATTTGAATGAGTAACTAATTAAATATATGAACGTGAATGAATGAACAAGTGAACGAATGAATAAACGAACGAGCGAACAAACAAACAAACAAATTGAACTGCACCACAAACATCCGCCCACCCATCAATTCAACACCACAAACAACCCACCTACCCATCAATCCAACACCACAAACAACCCACCTATCAATCCAACACCACAAACAACCCACCCATCAATCCAACACCACAAACAACCCACCCATCAATCCAACACCACAAACAGCCGCTACGGACCTCCGGACGACTTGAAAGAGTTGATAGACGCGGCACACGGAATGGGATTGGTGGTTCTTCTGGATGTTGTGCACAGCCACGCCTCTAAGAACTCCGCGGACGGACTGAACCAATTTGATGGTACCAACGGTTGCTATTTCCATGATAACAGTAGAGGCTTTCATAATCTCTGGGATTCTAGATTGTTTAATTACACTGAGTGAGTTTGTGTGTGTGTGCATGTGTTTGTGTGTGTCTGTGTGCGTGTGTGTGTTCGTTACGAATGCTTCTTTTATGATGTTTTTATGATTTCTTGATTATGGTTTCTGATGTTTGATGATTTAAGAAGTTTGATGATTTCTGGTTTATGTGTTTGTGTATGTGTGTGCGTGTTGTGTGTATTTGTGTGTGTGTTGTATGTGTGTGTAGTGTGCGCGCGCGTGTGCGTGTGTGTGTGAGGATATATTGTCAACAGTAATGTTTATTTTACGTTCATATATTGTTTATATATATTATATTATTTATTTATTAATTTATTATAATTATTAATTCTGAAATTATTATTCAAGTGTATATTTTTATTTTTTTTCATTAGGTGGGAGGTTCTACGTTTTTTGCTGTCGAATTTGAGATGGTGGGTGGAGGAGTATCAGTTCGACGGATTCAGATTTGACGGTGCTACTTCAATGCTCTACCATCACCATGGCATGGGTTGGTCGGTTGGTTGGTCCGTTGGTGATTGGTTGGTTGGGCGGTTGGTTGACTGGTTGATTGGTTGGTTGGTCGGTCGGTTGGTGATTGGCTAGGCTGGTTGGTTGGTTGGACGGTTGGTTGACTGGTTGATTGGTTGGTTGGTCGGTCGGTTGGTGATTGGCTAAGCTGGTTGGTTGGACGGTTGGTTGATTAATTGATTAATTAGTTAATCAGTCCGCCAACAATCATACAATCTATAGACTAGCTATTTTTTTAATCAATCTATCTATTAATTAATTCATTCATTTATTCGTTCATTCATTCTTTCATTCATCCATTTATTCATTCATCCATCCATTCATTCACTCATTCATTCATTCATCCACTCAATCAATCAATCATTCACTCACTCATCCACTTAGGAACCGGATTTAGCGGTCATTACGACGAATATTTCGGTATGAATACGGACACGGAATCCCTTGTCTACCTCATGCTGGCCAATCATATGCTGCATACAACTTACCCTTTTATTATTACCATAGCAGAGGTTAATTTATGATTGTGACCATTTAATTCACTTGTTTATTCACTCATTGATTTGTTCATTCATTCACTCATTCATTCGTTCATTCATTCACCCATTCATTCGTTCATTCATTCATTCACTCATTCATTCGTTCACTCATTCATTTATTTATTCACTCATTCATTTATTAATTCATTTATTAAACCGTTTATCTAATTATTTTTAATTTTTAATTATGTTACTTTGCTAATTAATTATGGTAAAGTTATTACTATCGTCGTCATCGTCGTCGTCATCTTCATCAGGAAGTTTCGGGCATGCCAGCACTCTGCAGACCGGTCGACGAAGGAGGGACCGGGTTCGATTACAGGCTGGCCATGGCTATTCCCGACAAGTGGATTAAGGTTAGTGAATTGGTCAGCTAATAAGTTGTTAAATATTTTGTTGATTGGTTGGTTGGCTGGCTGGTTGATTGATGGATTGGTTGGTTGATTGATTGATTGATTGATTGATTGATTGATTGATTGATTGATTGATTGATTGATTGATTGATTGATTGATTGATTGATTGATTGATTGATTGATCCTTATTCTTGCTATCAACATCAGCTACTGAAGGAGCAGCAAGATGATCACTGGAACATGGGTGACATCGTCCACACACTGACCAACAGGAGACATGGAGAGAAACACATTTCATACGCTGAGAGCCATGACCAGGTGTGTGTGTGTGGGGGA